TCCAACGATGTGCCCTGGTTCGACCCGACTCTGGTGCTATCAGACCTAGTGAAAGAGTTTGGATCTTGCGATATTGTTCGATCACAATCCCGCAAAGAGAGGAAGATTGCAGATAGCTTCTCTGCTATTTTGCGCGACGCACTGCACGACAATCTTATAATCGACTGCGAGGAAGATAGCTTCGTAGAGGACGACCATACGGATCCCCTCTGGTCACCTGATGATGGCGATGAAGAAAGTTCCCTCAGAGCTAGAAGAACAGCTTCAGTCACTTTTGGGGATGTGGAGGTTCCGATAGAGAAAGTGGTTTGATAGTCTCATTGTCTCACTTATGGACTTCACTTTGTACAACTCCATAGCATAGTATGTGTGTGGTTTAGGTGAGTGAAGCCATAGCCTTCTACCGTTCTAGTGCAAAGAAAAGCCGCTCATTTCCATGCATGAAGAGCAGGTTCCGCTTCATTGCTACCGAATACCACTTGCGGAAGTTGAGTTGAGATACTATCAAAATGAATGCTTTCACTGAAGTCAAAATGAAACCCCTCTCAAAAATCACACATAGGGCCTAATAAGAAGCAGGGAGGTGTCTTGGTGGTCTAACAGGTACGCAAAACTACTTCCCAAGTGTTTAGCATACGTTTGAAGAAAAAGCAAAACTAGGAAATGCATCAAGGATCCGAACCTCCGTCCCACAACTATGAGTCCATCCACTTACCTGCTGCGCCATCGAGCCACGGCGACAGCTGTGTCACGAGGGGTTCACAAGCGCAAAGCATGGGCAGGGGGCCCACCGCAATGGTTAAGCACGGTAGCAAAAAAGGTCCGTAACTTCTCACCCAGAATCGTTTAGCAGATTTGGAAGTCAGATCTGATATCAGCGTCCGAAGACGCTTCTAGGAGTATACATCTCATTCTGAATGGCCAGGACGAGTTGGTATCCTTCCCTTGTGAGACGCAAGGGAGAATGAGTTTTTAATCAGCAATGAATGTACAAAAAATAGTAACACAAAACGCTGAGAACTTTCCGGACAACCTAATATTATGAAATACCGATGATAAAACATGGAGTTTAGATGAAGTACAACGTGAAATGATGCTGAAACACTTCTACAGAGACGGATACAGGTCTAGACGAACGACAATTGCAAGGTGAGAAATAGGTTTCTACAATCTGTAAGTTGCTTATCTGGAGAGTGTCTATTTAGAGCAGCTGCGAAGCTCCGCCGCATCAAGATGGGAAAGACCGCCGACAGTCGGGAAAAAAGAGCTCGGAAGATGCAGACGTCAAAGATGAGAAGAGCTCACTGCCCTTGTAAGAGATACCTAATGCTGTTCAGTCGCATTTCACCGTACTATAGCCCGTGTAGTATCGCTGGCATGTAGTTAATGCGACTTTCTACGGTAGCGGAGCATGAGTAGCGCAGTGTAAAAATGGAATCGCTAGTGTTGAGTGACTCTGTTGTGCAAAGAGGTATGAAAACAAGAGCTTCCACGCCGCTCTTGACTCAAGGCATTACACGATCATACGGTAAAGGAGCACTGGTAGCCGAGAAGTGAGTCCAGAATCGGACAGGGCGAGACGACGGGCACTAACGCATTTGCTAGTCGCGTTCATTCATAGGTCGTACCGACAGCCGCGTTGCCAGCCTTTCTTGAAGCTCAAAAATGACACTGTTTTCGCGATTTTACTCACGGCAGGGCTATTTCGCTTCAGCTAGTGTGTAATGTGCCCTCAAAGCAAAGAAAATCATGTGAGGAGGAGTCCTCCTCTTGTGAATGGGCAACTCTGCTCTTGCGAACTCTTCTCACTCGAAAGTATCGCCATGGACGCCTAGCAGCCGGTTGGGCAAAGTCACTAATCCTGCTTTACAGAAATTGCGTTCGGTAGCTTTGACGGAACCGCAAAGGCGATTCGCTTCGAGGGCTTTTTTTGCCTTTGCCATAATAAACAATCGCTCCCAAGCGATTTCGAAACTCTCTCGCCGGAAGGCGTACCCACAAGTGCGATGGGCGTACAGGCCACCAGTGGGCGGAGATACCACCACGCTATTACACACCTTGGCTGTAATGCCACGGTGTGTAATAGCCTGGTGGTATCTCCGCCCACTGGTGGCCTGTACGCCCACTTTTCAGTGACGAAAAGGGCACATTTCTATTACAGCTGATCTGCCTACTTTGTTACAGAAGTGGTTCCTAGCTCTCGGACAATCGTAAAGTGTGCATTCAGTCAAATACTTATGCCGAAGGGTTTTCAGGGCGACAGACCCGTAGCAGATGGACTACAAATAGCTGCAGCTCAAACCACTCTCAGTGCTTTGCGACTTTGACGGAAGCTCTGCTTCTTTCAACAGAAACACCTGTGGAAGTGCCGTTCATAATATTTACGTTATAATTTCTGGCAGTGCTGTGTTAGGATGTATACTGAAGAGTTTTCACTTCATTGATCAAAAGTGAATATCACTGCTGAAAGAATGAAGATTCTTTTTTTGTTCCTAAGGTACACACGATCAGCTGTTGGCTTTTTGCGATTTGATCAGTGGAAGCTCTGACTCGATGAAGCTTTCGTGATTTGTTTTCAATACCGTTACATCCGCCTATCCTCTCTGTGGGACCTACTCGCTAGTGAATCTTGAGCCAGTCGCTGGTGAGGTTACCCAGCGTGACTTTGACAGGTGCAGAGCAACTGATAGCGCCATGCATACTCTAAGCCCTGAGGAGTAAAGTGCACAGTTACCTTCGTAGATCGTATTTCTTGCAATGCATGAAGCGAATGGGTCCGCAGCTGTAGTAGCTCTGACAAGAGTGCGCTTGAACGGGGATGAAAGGTGGTGTACCTGAGGGACATTTCCACTCTCAGCCCACGTTACCGCACGGCCAGCCACACGCCAAACCGCAGCTAAGCGCTACATTTCTGCGTCTTGTTCAGGGCACATCGTTGGTTGGGGAATCCCCAACAGGGGGGTCGTATTTGGCCGCCAGGAGAGGGGGGGGTCGTAATGAGTGCGGTAGCCAGTAACGAGCAGCGCAAAGGTG